AAATTAACAGACATTTTGTTTGATGTTCAAAAGTGCCATAAGGTCATAATGGTCTGATTGGAATAAATGATGTCCTGGGCTTCCAGGAAAACCTCTATAAGTACTAACTTTTAGTACTAACTCTTCTCATGCATAAGAGTGCGAGTTCTTAACCTACCAACGACAAGTATGACATTTCAAGTGTGGGAAAGCTATGCTTTGGCATGAATGGGCCGGCTCCACCGGAGTGATACCACGGCCTCACACAAAACCGACGTGAAACAACGCTTGCGTTGTGTTTCGTCGTGTGAGTGAGGTTACCGGAGGCCCAATTATCCCCCCTTTTCCCCAATCCTTGAATCCCCGACAATCCTCAAATTTCTAATCCCAAAATTCCGGTAACGCACTTTTAACGTCTCTGGTGTTCCAGGAGTTCCATGGGCGACGCCGATGGCTTACCATCCAATCCGTCTGCTCGTATAAAGGCTTAGAAAAAAAAATTGCGAGTTATTTGTACTATGTAAAATTATTTAGACACCACTGACAAACGATGAAGGAAAACATGAGGAAACCTGGACATATAATATCTAATTATAAGTTTGAAATTGCCAACCTGTATTGAGCGAGCGTGGTGATTTATGCTCATACCTCCGTATCAGAAGATTCATATAGTCAGCAGTAGCCAGTTATAGTTATAACCCTTGATGTTGATTTGACTTAGAATATAGAACTTTTAGTAATAAGTTAGATGTAGGAGTATTTTAGCCAAACCAAGTCGACAGGGGCTAAATTAATTTATTCGTTAGTTACAATGTAATTAAGTCTTAAGTGGAAGCAAGTAACAATGGAATTGGCGGAGCATATTGATAAATATATATAATAAAGAATAAATAAAAAACTTAGAAGATATGCAACATGGCTGACTCCTCACAGTCAAACTTGAGTTATCTTAAAGTGTAAGAAAAACCCGCTATAATTTAATCCTTTAGATCTCTTTTGATAAATAAGTATATCGATCCTAATGCATACAAACAATATCGGATGAACAAACTGATAGCCAAAAACGACAAAGTACTATCGGCAAAGATTACTGTAGCACTTTCTAAAAATCTTGTGACAAGGTCGCTATCTACCGCCCTGTTTTTCCCTGTGATCGCTCGCGGTAATCCCATGCGAATATCGCCTAATGATGGTCGACCATCAACTTTGTCGATTGTACCTACATATTCGTAATTAACTACACTACTACAGAATACTAAAAATAGATTTAATAAATTTAAATAATGGAAATATTTAAATTCGTTAGATAACCATTTGTAGTCAAACATGTAAGGAAAAATGCATTAATTAAGCCTGTTTCAAAATTAAAATAAAATTGACTAGTTTCCGCTTGTGGTTTTGTCTACTAGAAATTAAGACATATGATTAGGATCTACTGCCTCGTTGGCCAACTGGTCGCAAGTGCGACTGCCGGGCAAGGAGTCTCGGGTTCGATTCCCGGGTCTGGCAGTAGCAGTATTACTGGGTTTTTAAAAAATGTCAGTAGTAGCACGGAGTCTGGAAATGTGACCGGTATATGGCAATAAGCTCCCTATTACATGCGACTCATAATATAAATAGTGAAAAGTGGGTGATACTTCTGTGTACACAACTGCCTAACCCTTCGGGGATAAAAGGATCTACATATCTGAAAATGGTTTACGAATATGTCTTACATCAGATATGGTAACCCCAACTTCTGATAACATATACACTTTTTATGTAGGCCTTTGACTTCTCTATTTTGAAAAGTGACTTTTTTCTCTAAAAATAAAAACAGCAAAATAGCTTCATTGGCAACCCAAAGCAAACACCCTGACAACTTGGCAACCCTGAATAAAAAAAAAACAGTGAAAAGAGGTCATCACTACTTTCCAAAACAAACGTAGATAATTTTACTCGCGTCGACGGAACCCATTCTATATAAAGGGCAGATGATCTCCAAATAAAACCAAATAAATACCGAGGCCTAAAGAAGAAAGTGCACAGTTCAAGAACCACTTCAAGCCAAAGAAGTTCCTGATACCAGAAGCAAAAATGTTCAAACAAGTCATCGTTGTGTTCATAGTCGCCATGATGTTTACCATCGTAAGTACATTAAATAATTTCATTAATATTAATTAAAAAGGCACCTAAATTATAGCTCATTTGCTTTCTGATAGTAGTATAGTATATTATATATATTTGTTATTCTGTGGTAGTATAGTTTAAGTGTGAGAGAGCCATGCTTCGGCATGAATGGGCCGGCTCGACCGGAGTGATACCACGGCCTCACAGAAAACCGACGTTAAGCAACGCTTGCGTTGTGTTTCGTCGTGTGAGTGAGGTTATCGGACGCCCAACTACCCTCCCCTTCCCCAATCTCCTCAATTCCTGAATCCCTAACGATCCCCAAACTTCTAATCCCCAAAAGGCCGGTAACGCACTTGTAACGCCTCCAGGTGTTCCAGGTGTCCATGGGCGTCGCCGATTGCTTACCATCAGGTGATCCGTCTGTTCGTTTACCGGCTTATGCCATAAAAAACTATATAAATAAATGGAAAATTCGCCTTGTGCTATTACTGTTTTTTTTCCTCAGTAAAATTCATTTCTTACTCCTTGCACCCATCGTTTATTTTTCTCTGTGTAACCCGGTTCGTGGTACCTACATGATCCCGACGGATATGGCATTAAGTTATGAAGCTTTAATAAATAAATATGTACATATTAACTAGGAGTTCCTTATTATAGTGTTTGATTGTTTATTTTAACGATTTTTCTTTTAAAATTTCAGACAATCCAACAATCGGGTGAGTTTTAAGATATGAAACTTATTTTTTATTATAACAAAACGTCACACTTTGTGATTTTCTCCTGTGTCGTGGGTGCGTTTACAAACATACAAGTTCACATACACATGACACCCAGTGTTTAGAACAACAATCTGTGGATCACACAGAGAGTGTTGCTCCGTGTAGGAATGGACCCCGCTACACATTGCGCGGTAGCCGGTTGTCCAGCCACCACGCCAACCGTTCAGTCGACTTAATTATTTGTGTATCAGCTTACATGCCAACATCTCCATTAGTAATGTCTGGAATTGTGCACAATGCGGCAGGGATCCTTCTCTATGTGAGAAGAACCTTTTCTCAGGAGTGAGACAGTTACTGCCTCGTTGGCCGAGTGGTCGCAAGTGCGATTGCCGGGCAAAGGATCGGGCAATGCACTACTGGGTTATTAAAAAAAAATCTCAATAGTAGCACGGAATCTGGAATTGTGCCCGGTATAGGGCAAAAGGCTCACCCCCTATTACATGAGACTCATAACATAAATAGTGAAAAGTGGGTGTTACATTGTACAGTGGCATTAAGTTCATTAATGCGCACCTAGGCCTACTCCTTCAGGGGAAAAGGCGTGATGTTATGATGATATAATGAGACAGTTTCAGGCACAAGATATTTTTCTTAATTTCGCCTGATGGTAAGCGATGATGCAGCCTGCAATGGAGGTCGAATGCCCATAAGCAACCTATTCACTCGGGCCTTAAAGACGGTTTGGGAAAAACAGATTCTGGCAAAGACATTCCACTTCATAGCATTTCTATTTTCTAATAAGGTTGTATTTTTTCAGCAAGTGGAGAAATTGGTGCCAATGGTAGTCAAGAGGCAACGGGTGGTGCTACGGGTAAGTCTTAAAATTACTGTTTTAATCGACACGTAAAACAGAAAGTAATATCTACTCTTAATATATTTTATGGGGTATTATGGCTGAATTCATATGTCTATTACGGCATTTAACTGATAAGCTCATCTGCAGCACGAAGTCATCATTCTGGAGTTAGAAAAATTTACTATTTAGAAGCCATCAGACCACCACAGATGTGGAACAATAGGGCTGATACCGATACGGAGCCGCGGAGGACATAACGGGTTACCGGGGCTCCGGTGTAGGAACGGGGTGGTTTTCAGTCAATAAGAGTCTGACACTCCTTCTCGCCTTACCCAAGGCAGGAGGAGCCATTTAATGATTATCCTCCATCAAAAAACTTAGATTCTATAAAATTATAAATTTTATTGGTGTTACAGGTTCAGGCAGTGGCAGCCTCGGTCCCATAAATGTTACGGGAGACTTTGGGAAGAATGGAAGCGAGAGCACTAGTGGCAACGGGAGTCTAAGCGGTGGAATCTAGGGAAATGAGGTGATTGAAGTTTTAATTCGATTTTGACCTTTATTTACTTAGCAATAAGACTTAATATTATGATAGGCCAAATAGCTTTGATATAATTAATTCAACTCTATTGCCTTAAGATAAAATATTGCTTTATGGAATTATCACAGCGGTATAATTCATACTATTGCGATAAGAGCAGGATATAAATTTCATCCAATTTATTTTCAACTTTATAGCGCTTGTTATTCGATATAGATTTGAAGATAACTGGGGAACAAATGGTTCCTTTACTAAGCTTCAGTGTTCCAAGCAGAATGGGCATAAAGCCGGCAGAAATAGAAAACTATACCCTATTTTCCATACAATAAAGCCTCAAATGGAATAAACAAGCTAATCTTTATTTTTTTCCTTGCAGGAGCGATGAGGACATCCTTGTGTTTCTTTGCTAAATAGAAGAATTAATTGTTTGTACTTATCGTCAATACTTGAGAAATATATTTTTATTGCAGTAAAATCTGTTTTATTATCCTAAATATTGTAATGTTTACAAAAATATGTGATTATAAGATAAATTAAAGCGAGTCACTCGCTATATATAAAACATATTCCATATAAAACAAAACTAGTGCTATATCATCATAAGTCTGTGGCATGTATAGTCTCAGTCTCTGGGTCTCGGGTTTCCAAAAACGCAGTAAAATTTTTCACAACACCAAAACAAATACAATACAAAACTTGAGTCTATGGTTCAAGACTTCCTTAAATCATTTTCTGCTACATTCCACAGACAACTTGTAAAAAGAAAAGTATCATAAATAAAAATAGTACTCACGGTCTCCATTTTTAATCCTATACACTGGTTCCTCAAACTGTGCAGTAGTTAGACACTTCAGGACCTTCAAGAAGTATGGCAAGAGTTTGTCCTGATGCTGCAGGTTGCTCTGCAGGAAGTACAGTCCGAGGGCTATAGACGCTTCTTGACTCCGAGGTGTAACAATGAGAGACGAGCTCACTTGCGGACATAGCATGAACAGGGTATTCACCTGGAATTTGAGATGGGTTTGTGTTAGAATGTAAATTAATTTTTTATAAAATCAATCTTATATGTTTTAGGATACAGTTCATGATCAGTATTCAACTTGACTATGTATTTAGAAATGTGTTCAATAATTATAAAAAATATGTAATTTTAGAGCTTCCCCGAGGCTAGTGTATACTAAAGTTGACTGTTAAAAACTATCTTCAGAAAAAAATGTATCCAAACCTCACTGAGCATAACATCAAGCTTTTATACCCGAAGGGATAGGCAGAGGTGCACTTTATATCACTGTACAATGTAACACCCACTTTTCACTATTTATGTTATGAGTCCCACGTAATAGGGGGTGAGCCTATTGCCATATATCGGGCATAATTCCAGACTCCTTGCTACTACCATGGGCGTAGCCACACTGGGGCAAGCTGGGGCACTTGCCCCACCCTGGGCCCTGGCTCTGACCCATAAGGTGTCGGATTAAACAATGTTTTTTTTACTAACTCTAATTAACAACATCAACAATCATACTATCCGTAAGTAATTGCACAAAAAAATTGTCGACTTTGAAAAGAGCGCGATCAAAACAAAATGCACGCTCGAGTTCCCGAAAGTGCGCGGTGCGCGCGTCATTTGAAAGAGAGCCGTATTCCCTAATAGAAAAGGTACTATGTGGCGTAGTGAGCCGAGCCGTCCATCACCGCGCGGTCACTCATTCCCGCGCCCCGCGAAGCGCAGACTAGAAATCTTCTATGGCTCGTGGCGCGATTTGTATTGTTTGCTTGTTTTATTTAATTTAAATTTTCTAGTTGATCTTAATTTTAATTTTTGTAAATTAAGTGATACTTTCCCAAGCGAGGCTGAGATGTGGTATAATTTGTGGGAAGAAAATAATACGGACATTAATGCATTGAAGGAGATGGAACTGGTAGATGTGATCAAAATTTCGAAAATGCAATTTTATCCTAGTGGTCGCTATTTTGCTTGCCCAGCCATGTACGACCTGTACAATAGAACGATCGTTTAGCACATAACGGCGAGTCAAAATGTGGCTTCGCTTAACCATGAGCGGCGAAAATCGTTTGAGCGGCCTGTGTACATGCTAAGTGTGCACAGAACAAGGGTCTCACAATCGAAAAATACATTTTTAGTAGAAGTGCTTAACAGGTTCTGCCAGAACAAACGCCGTCTTCTTTTGAAGTAATATTACTCATACATAATATACATAATTAAAACTTTAATTTATAAACACCCAGTATTCATAAATAAAACTATGAAATCTGTCCTGTGTGTGATTGTTTATTTTCTGTACCTGAAAATATAAACCTCCCAAATTAAGAGATTTTTTAATGGGACAAGCTCGCCATAACCTTCCAAAACCGCTGCAACTGCAGTGCACCAGGATCTACAGTAGATACAACCATGAAAACACCGGAACACTGAAGTCCGGCGCGTCCCATGGACATCAGTAACTGTCTTGGTTCCGGCAACAAAGTGAATCATAAGAATATCTTCTGAGCATATCTTATAAGAGGAGAAGAAGAAAAAAACTATAGTTTCCACTTCCCTCGGTGAATTACTGCAGGAGACAGAATGAATTAAGCCTAAAGGCACAAAGAAGAGACTGTACAACTGGGTGAAGCCCAGTCGCCAAGCACCACGGAAATTTGACTAATAACTAAGTGGGTCCTATGTGTGAGCTGTTATACTTGCTTCCAATAATAGGTATGGCAAAAACGCCTAAACGCACGGAAATTCGTTCTAGATTCCACAAGGTCCGTATAATAAACTACACCTGACGAAACAATTAAATTATTTAACATAGTGTTACGTTCATATTGCCAGAGATCACACTCCCAGAGTATGTGATGGGCCGACTGCTCGTATCGCAACTCCTCTGTCGAACATTGGCACCATGGTGAATCAATAAGTTTAAATGAGAACAATTTGCCTTTAAAGTTGCCGTGGCCAGTAAGAAATTGGGCAACACAGTGATCCACCTCCAACCATGTCCTCTCCAGCCGCTCATGCACGGATGGAAAGAACTGATACAGGTGGCGGCCCTTAATAGAAGATGCCCATCTACCCTGCCATTCAGTTATAAGCTCATCCCAAACGTCCGTTATTGGCTTAAACAATCTTGCAATTTTATTTCTATCACGTTCTGCCAGAAAGCTAGCTGACAAATTAGGTCTCGCACTGTAGTACATAGCAGCACGTCGCTGCACCTCAAGATCTACCGGAAGTACGCCCGCGAGCACAGGTAGGGCTTCAGTGCTAACCGTCCTATAAGCCTTACACAGGAAAATCAAGGCTAGACGCTGGCCTTGAAGAAGTTTTCGCCGTACCGCGCCTATTGTGGCCCTATCAGCCCAGACAGGTGCCCCGTAGCACACGCATCCCAGGTAGGTTGCTCCGTATATGATCCTGAGCGTAAGAAAAGAGAGACCCCAGGTGGCTTTTGAAATTCGCGTCAGCGCATAGAAGTTTTTTTTGGCTTTCTCACTAATAGCCTTAATATGCTCAATGAAAGAAAAGTTTTTTTCCAAAACTAGACCGAGATAGCAAACCGACTCCTTTCGTTTTACGGAAACGTTGTTAAATTTAATAGACGGCCACGACTTTAGATTTCCTTTAAGCAATAGCTGGTAAGTTTTATGGGGTGCAAAAGTTAAGCGATTTCGTTCGCCCCATCGCGAGATCCTACTGAGACAGTCTTTAGCCAAATTTAAGAGATTAACAAGTTTGAGATTAACGGCTCAAGGTACAAAAAATCGGAGGGCCACCGCCCTCCCCCGGGGGATTTTTTTTAAGGGGGGAAAATCATCGAATGACTGCTCCCGCCTGTGTGAGACGGGAGGGACTGTCAGACTCTTACTGACTAAAAACCACCCCGTTCCTTCTCCTGTACGTCGAGCCGGAGCCCCGGTTACCCGTTAGGGTCTCCGCGACTCCGAATCGGCTCCCCCGGGGGATAGGTTGGCTGCTGCCCCACCCTGAGCCCAAAGCTGGCTACGCCCATGGCTACTACTGAGCATATTTAAAAACCCAGTAATACTTTGCCCGACCCGGGAATCGAACCCGAGACCCCTTGCCCGGCAGTCGCATTTATGACCATTCGGCCAATGAGGCAGTCTCACTGAGCAGTATCAATACATAGTATAAAACAAAGTCGCTTTCGCTGTATGTCCGTATGTATGCTTAGATCTTTAAAACTACGCAACAGATTTTGATGCGGTTTTTTTAAATAGATAGAGTGATTCTTAAGGAAGGTTTGTATGTATAATACATGCATATTGCACCCGTGCGAAGCCGGGGCGGGTCGCTAGTACAATATATAAGTCTCTTACATATTTATTTAAAACTACATATTATGAACAGAGACATTAATTTACCTTGAAATAACGCTATGAGAATGCAGCCTATTGTTTAAAAACTATAATGAGATCTTTGTTTGGTTCATGCCCAGTTCATAACTATTTTATTTTTCTTAATAATGATAGTAGTAGTAGGTGTTAGTTGACCAATTATTTTTTATTGGAAACGCATCAGTGTCTTGGTAACTACCTCACCGATAGTCAGCGATGATGATGATGGTATTTAATTAAAATGCACGGCACAACGTACAAGCAACTCATTTAACACACTCAAATATTATAGTCTGTTCATGAGTGACTGAGTGAGTTACGAACATTAAAATTAATGTAGCAATATAGAATAAGGTCAAACAAAAATGACTCATATATAATGCATGTGGGATATGTAGGTAATATATGAGAAGGAAAACATTTGGTACACCAACAAACTCGGTGCCAAATGACTAGTATAATATAATTGTGTCCTAAATATAAGCACCATATTATGAACTGTTTCTGTTTATTTAATTAGATAACAATTTATTATCTAAACAATGTTCAACCGCAAACTGAATTTGTTAAATATGGTTAAAAAGATATTTAATTGCCATAATTTTGCCAGATCTCCGAAGGATTATGAATGCCTATGTTTAGCGGTAGATGTTTTAGAACGGATATCAGCAAAGTTGATCATATCAACTGCACGGTTGGTGCGGTGGCTGGGCAATTGGCTGCCGTGCACACGGAACAACTCTTTGTGTGACCCACAGATTGATGTTCCGGGTCTGGGTGCCATTTGTATGTGAACTGTGGGGCGACATTTATATATATGTAAAAAAATATATCAACCAGAAGGATATGTATAAAAGTATGATACCATAAATGAGATTTAATGTAAGCCTGTTTGACTGTTATAACCCTAAATTACGCCCCTGTTTTGAGTAGTAAAAACTAACCTAGTTGGAAAAGGGCCAGTAATAATAATGTTGCCAACATATCATAATTTATGAATTTTAAAGTCTTTGGAGACTTTTGCTATCCCTTTGTTTACTATGAATAAGACATTTCTTTCAAACCTTTCAAAACTTTGTACATTTTAATATTAAGTACTTTTTCTCTATGATTGACTGTTCCTATAAGTTTCCAATTTCTAACAAATTGTAGCAATTAAAAAAATATAACAATATTATTACACATGTTAAACACAAAATATACCTATAAAGCATTAAACATAACATCAACTAAAACCTAACATTTCACTAATGAGTAATCTGGCTGTAAAACCCAATGTCATTGCCTTCCATAAGAGATTAAAAAAAGGTGACAAGACTTTCAAGGTGGCTATTATGCACATTCTAATTTGATGATTATGTCATGATTGTTCGATATTATGTCTAGCATCGATATAGCAACAATAAATCGATGAATCACAGGTCTTCTTTGCTTCACACTGATGATAACGACCGAATTGTTTAGGTGAGGTCATGTATTTATTTTTGATTTAAAAAATACTCATAACACTTAATGACAACAATACTGACGACTAAAGATATGAATAAATTGTTAATTGTGTTTGTAGATTTATTTCCCTATACACAGTTATTACGGGAAAGAATACAATTACGAAAATTAACAAGATTGCAAAATACGTGTTGTAATTTTTACCTTCTCCCATGGTGTTGGATTTATACTCGATAGACATCGAGCTAAATGCTGCACGGTCTGTCGGAAGAATTCGTTTTCATCCATAGTTTTGTTTATATTATTCGATTAAATACATTTTAAATAATAAATACGCGATTACGATCGACGATATCAGCCGATCGTAATTTGACAGTTTGTCAATACTACGTTCTGTTCAACGGTTAGTCTATTGTCTCTATTTTCATGTACAGATATTTATTTTACTTTAGGGTTGCCGATAAATACTTAATAATCACAACATTAAAGGATATTTGAATTGATTTCAAGTAAGTTATTAATTTTTCGATATCTTTATTACATGTATTTTTTTTTATTTTGGTTGGTTTTACGATTTACGTAATACCAAAAGTAGAATGAAACGTGGTAAACGTTCCGATCCACGTAGTCGACTTTCATGTTTTTTAACTTGACTCTCGATATTCATTTTTTTGAATGAAATTGGAACAGAGATTTATTTAACAAGTAGGTATTTAGAAATTAGATTGTTATGATAATAATTTATCACGTACATCTTACTTTCAATACTTTATTTAACAATGTTTTTTAACATGTTTTGTATGACATTAACATTAACGTTCGATTAAAATATTTCCCTATACTTGCGAATGAAAGGATGTAGGTATAATAAAGAATAGATGGAAGAATATACAAAAATAATAATAGACATTAAATCTAAAATAATGTATTTTATTCTCTATAAGCTACAGCAGCTATATGTTTCAGTTTCGCTCTCGCCACTTTTCCTGTAGACGTGCGAGGTATGCTCTCCATGAAGATGACTCCACCTCGCAAACGCTTGCTATACGACAGTTTATCTGTGAAATAAGAATGGTTATTAAAATTAGAATGGCGGAGACCCCCTTAACTCGAGTGGTTTTTTTATATTTGGTGGGCCGACTTTTGACCACTATCTCGCCTGGTGGTAAGCAATGATTCAATGATGCGATCTCCGATGGAGCACGTCGTCCCATAAGCAACCTATTCTCTCGGGCCTTGAAGATACCCAGGTACTCTTCAGGAAATACAGACTGGCAAAGAATCCACTCCTTAGCAGTATGCACGAGGAAGCTTGATGCGAAGCGCTTCATTTTCAACCAGGGAGTCTTGATTTCGATTCCCAGTTGGGACAAAGAGTGTAAGTCCCTCTTATTTAACAATATTTGGATTTTCAACTGGGAGAGTAGAATTTAGTAAGAACCGATTAAGGATATTTAACGGGGACTGGACAGCAACGCTCTCTAATAAATTGTGAACTCCAACTCGCCTACTAAGTGTAAAGTAAGGTCGCCATTAGGCCATGAAGCAACGTCATGTTTATGGCACACCCTCCCCTTTGAGTACCGTCATTATAGACACAATTAAAGAACAATAGGTGTGCGAACACCGGTGTCCTCGCGGTGTTTGACAGTTTAAGAAACAAACATATTTCCTTCAGTAGCGGACTGTCTCGGACTATCCTTTCCTTACTAATATTATAAATTGGAAAGTGAGTTTGTTTGTTTGTTCCGCTTTCACGCCGTAACTACTAAACCGATTGCTTTGAATTTTTGCAGACGTAAAGTTAGAAGTCTGGATTAAATAATAGAGTACTTTATATCCCGGAAAAATTTGATATTCCCGAGGGAAAACAAAAGTATTGGTATAGATGGCGCTGTGTGTATTGGTATATGCCACATAGGCTACGTTTTATCCTTTTGTGATGCGAGCGAAGCCGCGGGAAAAAGGTAGTTGACAATAATCTAATAGATAAGTATGATGACTTTTATAAGCGCCTACTCACCAGCAACGAGCTCCTTAATCTCATGCGCAGTAACATTGTATCCTGGTCTTCGCACCACGCAAGCGACTGGATGCTCTCCATCAAAGACATTTGATATGCTGGTCACACTGACGTCCTGCACACCAGGGTGCTGGCGAATTACTTCTGCTATTTCTAGTGGTGCTATCTGTGTATTGAAAAAGTGACCAATAGGTGAAGTTGAACCTCTCCTAAATTTAAAGGAACTCCTGAGCTAAGATAGGTGACACCTTAACAGTACAAGTAAGGATTCAGTTCAAGTACTTCCTAACGCTAAGTAACTTTTAGTTACGTCAGTGACAATTTAGGGGTGATTAGTAAAAAGGAGCATTACCTACTCTATTAGAGGTCATATTTCGAGAGGTAATTATAACTGATTACTTACATGATAATTCCTGTACTTAATTAACATTCCAAGTCGTTCAACGAAGTAGAAATAGCCATCCTTGTCTTTGTACAATAGGTCTCCCGTTTTGAACCAGCCATCATCTGTGAAGACCGCTGCCGTCTCTTGTGGATTGTTGTAGTATTCCTGTAATTACTTATTGATAATCACTCTACCCAAGCTTACTTAACCTTTTTTGACCCCAAGGTAGGAAATTCTCAATGGGGAAATTCTCATTCCCCTTTGTCTGCGAATGACGAATTGGACTGCCCGAATTTGTGACAGAACAAATTATCTTTTTTACCTCTTTTATCAGACCGAAAACATCTATAGTGGAACAGAAGTATCCTTATTATATACTTTGTTTTAGAACACCACGATACCAAGGACTGTCTACGCAGATAGGTCTCTTTCAAATACCTGCTTCAAGAACTTACCGTAAACATGGGCCCTTTCATCCACAACTCTCCAGTCACATTTGGCCTCGTGATTTCTACTTCTGTATCTGGATCCATTAACTGTAAACAGATGTACAAATTAAACAAGACTTAATGAATTTGCATAAGTACATTTAAATATCTCAGTTTAAATAAACCATAAGAAAAGGTGACAATTTCCGCAAATGGCTTGCAGTCGCTAGATGCGAGCATTAAAAATTGTAGCTTAATCTATTAAGGAGGTCTGCAGCCAGCAATGGCGGGAAACGGGCTGATAAAGATAATAAAGAGAAGGAACTTAGAAAGAAGATTAATTTACCATAACTTGATGCACCTCGGTGGCTTTTCCGCAGCTGCCCAAAGGTCCATCTGGTTCGATGGAGAATACTTGGCCCATAGTTTCAGTCTGTCCATACATTTCTGCGGCTATAGCGTCGGGACGTATTCTCTTCTGCAAATTGATTATTAAACAATTTATCACTATTTTAGTATTACTAGGATTAGTGACTTGAACTATGTCTTTTCAATAAGTCACCGTCATTCGTGGTCCCTTGTCCGTTATCAGCTTGAAGCTCACGAAATTCCTTATAGCTATATCTGGTTTCTGGTAGTAATAATGTAGGTTCTTACCCTCAACTCATAAATATCTTCTTTATGCACCTTTCCTCCTGTTACCATGACTAGATTAAATGAAGTGAAGTCGCAACTCTTTTCGTGTTTTAATAGAGAATCTAGCATTGATGGACCCAATAATGCGGTGACTGGCTGCAAAAACAAAAATGAAAATAATTGTATAATACTATTGTTTTTCTTCCCAGCAAAGATATAATATAATACAATAATATTGTGATGTTGTATTGTTCTGCGTTGATAGCTAAAACGATTACAGCGCCATCAGCATGACAAGTTTTTATGGTAATTTGTCGTCTTGTGATATAATGAATCTATTTCCTCATGCGAATTAAGTATGTAAATATTTTTTGAGAGATATAGTCCAATATAATCAAGTTTTTAATAACTTACCCTGTATTCTTTGATAATATCAATGACGTGGTCCGTAGTGGGTTGTAGAGAGGTCTGAATCTTGCACAGGTTGAATAGTGGCATGGCTATTGCGTTGTAGAAGCCGCCTATCCACTGCACGGGAGACAAGAATAGGGCTGGCGTGTTTCTTGAGCTACTGTTTAAGAAGACAGACGAATTTGTAAATTAAGAAAGACTTAAGAAAGACAAGAAGAAGCATGAAAGCAGGATTAATGCGGTGGAAATGAGAGCCCTAAGAAGTATGTGTGGACTAAAATTGAGTGATCGAGTGAAAAATAGTGTTATTAGAGAAAGGTGTGGATTGAAAGATGATGTAGTGACAAGGATTGAAAAGGGAATGTTACGCTGGTTTGGACATGTAGAAAGGATGGATTAAAGTAGAGTAACGAAAAAAGTATACAGAGCGGATATGAATGGGGCCGTCGGTAGAGGGCGCCCTAGACGGACATATAGTGACCAGATTGGCGATATATTAAAGAAGGGCCAAATTAAAAGTACCCTTAACCGACGAGCATGCATGAAAAGATTGATGACTGTTAATGAAGCGAAAGAGGTATGTAAGAATCGTAGCAATTGGCGTTCCTTAGTGTCTGCCTACCCCCATGGGAGACAGGCGTGAAGTTATGTATGTATGTATGTAAGAAAGACTTGCCTCGTGGTTTGAAAACTGGCACGTATGTATCGTGTGCCTAAAGACATTCAAGCGTTGTGTGTTGTGTCTTACATACAGGCAATTAAGAGGTTAAATGACTCGATATAGTTACTATAAAGCAAAATAATATTAAAAATAAAATAAGTGTGGTAGAGCTATGTTTCGGCACGAATGGGCCGGCTCGAACCGAGTGATACCACGGCCTCACAGAAAACCGACGTTAAGCAACGCTTGCGTTGTGTTTCGTCGTGTGAGTGAGGTTACGGAGGCCCAATTACCCTCCCCTTCCCCAATTTCCTCAATCCCTGAATTCCCAATGGTCCTCAAACTCCTAATCCCCTAAAGGCCGGTAACGCACTTGTAACGCCTCTGGTGCTCTGGGTGTCCATTGGCGACGCCGATTGCTTACCACCAGGTGATCCGTTTGCTCGTTTACCAGCTTATGCCATAAAAAAAAAATCGAGATAAGTTAAGTAACACAACCAGCGACAAAGGAAAAGTGCAAAAAATATTTTACTAAAATAATTCTGCTGGTCAAACAATAAAACGGAAGATTTATTTCACATTTTGAAAGGAAGATCGTATGTAAAGATTCAGACAAACTATATCAGTTAGGCTCTTCCAAAACTGACAATTCGAACTATGAAAGTGACCTCGATCGCATTCTAGCCCGTCATTGGTCGAGATTATTCTTGCAACCAATGACCTCGATCTTTCGAATTGAAAGGTACAGAAGCCTAGCACACACCAATTAGTTCCAAATTCAACCTCAACTTACTCTTCTATTTGAATGAGCTTCCTCAGCTGTTGCAGCCTCAATATCCAGGGCTTGTGTTTGAAAGCAGCTACCTTCAGCACTCCACTTGCGCCACCAGTAGTAATGAGCCAAAGGTAGATCTTGTCTAAGTCAAATTCTGCTGGTCTGTGGAATAAAGATGTAGGTATATATATGACCTAGGTACCTATGTTCTAATAGACTTAGTGACCGTAGTACTCACTTCTAACGCGATTATATCGGGCATAATATTTCCAAAACTCTTAAAACATCAAGAAAGTAGTAAAAACCAGACCTGAGCCTCGACCTGGGACCCGACCTGTGACTCAACCCGGGACCCGACCCGGGAATTGAACCCGACTTGGTTGATAGTTGCATTTGCGACCATTATGCCAACAACGCAGTTTCTATATTTACTCAAACCAGGTATTATTATTCAACATAACGTCACCTTGGAGCGTTATTATTGTTTTGGGTCTAAAGGTCGCAAGCGCAATGTTCATTCATGGTGACTGCCTGATAAGTCTATAATATAATTATTATATTGTTCCGTGAAATGTTTCATTTCATGCCATATCTTTTAAGGACATTGGAAATTGTTCCTTTTTATAATTATGGTAATTAAGTATAAGTTTAAAATTTTCATCACTTCTGCCAGGGACCCTTCTTGTCGTGGCATATTTTCCAATCTTGTTCATTAACCTCTCGCGCGCATCTCGTACACACGGGTAAACGCGCGTTCTCGTATACACGGGTAAATATTTTAATAGAAAAGCGAATGAACTATTCTGTTCAATCAAATAAAGAACGGGTTGCAAACCTGAAAATATACGTCACAGAAAAAATATCCAATCGGTGCGCGATTCTCGTACAATTGCGCGATGGGCATTTAACTCTCTCGTACACCCGCGTGTACGAGAAATACGCGAAAAGACGACTGACAACGCCCACATAACTGACACAATAACTGTTCAAGTAGGTACAGCACAAACCCCGTAGCATAACAAACAAGTCTACAGTATTAAACTTATTTGATCAATCTATTTTTCAATACTATTTCAAGAACAAATAAAAATGAAAATGTAAAACCCTTTACCCTACCATATAGTAACAACATCCAAATTCTTACCGGAATTCTTCTAAATCATCTCGATCATCGTATTCTCTTATGAAGTTCTGCATGGAATGCTTTCCTTCCGAAAAGGTCACGACCTTTGTGTCCAGCCCTAATTCAGTCACAGCGTCTATGACGTGTTCACATTGGCAAAACGCTACCTTCGGCGTGGTCAGTTTAAATAATTTCTTAATTTCCTCTGAAAAATATAACAGAAGAATTAATAATTAGATACCATTAATAATGAAATAGAGATTGTTAGTGAGAAGAGAACGCAAAAGAAAAATAAAGTGAGCCATCATCAACAACCTGGGATTTTTTTTTTTTTAAGTGGGGAAAGTCATCGAATGACTGCTCCCGCCTGGGTGAGGCGGGAGGGAGTGTCAGACTCTTACTGACTAAAAACCACCCCGTTCCTTCTCCTGCACGTCGAGTCGGAGCCCCGGTTACCCGTTAGGTTCTCCGTGACAACAACCTGGGATAGTCTACTACCAGACTATGAGTCTCTTATACATCTAATAAGGGTTTTGCAATAATATCCACCAGGTGGATGCAAGATCGTAGCTCAAAAAGTTCGGATTGATCAGAGAGCACTGTAGCCACTTAGCCGACTCCTCTGACGCCCGTAACAACAGAAGGAGTAGTGGGCCATCTGGTGAGCAGAAATACGATAGGCCCCATAACGTAACTGTATCATACTGGCTGGTGCTGAAGATCAGCTCCGTGGACTCGCCTTCATGCCCGGGTCACAGTAGTAAGCTGAGCTCCGGCCTTTTGCGCTGCAACGCACCATTGACTTCCTTTTGTGCGTACCTGTGTTGTTGTCTATGTGTGTTTTCTCTTTCATTTCTATGTTCTATGCTACCATCACCACAGCTCTCATTCTTTCGAAGAAACAATACAAGTATAACAGGCACTGTATGTACACACATCGAGCTTTACATAACCAGTATAAACTGAACGTTAAATGTGTGGAAAGATGATGCGACGCGACACCAGGGTAAACTGGTTTTGTATAGATTGATGTGTGGCCGTGTGTGTGAATTTGAGCACATTAATTACCAAACTTATACATAGGATCAACGCCAACAATAGGCATGCCGTTCAGCAGAGCAGCGTAGTATGGTATGTGGAGGTCCAGGTGGTTCTTCCCGTGTAATGCTAGCACATCTCCTGGCTTGGCTCCGAACTGACGGAGACATTGTGCCAGGCGGATAGACCGGTATAGTACTGAGGCGTTGCTCTCGTATTTTCCTATGGCTGCGTCTATCTGTGGAAAAGGATATTAAGATTAACATAACATACAATATAGAAGCTGTGTGATACAGTAGCATAGCAAGCATAGAGATGATTAACGGTTCCTTTACAGCTTCCGGATCGATTCCAGTTTATGAAGAAACTTTACCAGAGATTTGGTCGAGAATACGGCTATTGACTGCATGGTTGGCGCGGTGGTTAGCCAACTGGCTGCCGCGCAACGTGTCGCGGTTTCGATTCCCGCACGAAACAACTCTTTGTGTGATAACAGATTGTTGTTCCAGGTCTGGGTGGCATGTGTATGTGAACTTGTATGTTTTTAAACACACCCACGACACAGAAGAAAATCTTAGAGTGGGGCAACGATCTTTTTATTTAAATCAGTTATTAATCTCTTATCTGTCGGTAGGTAATTGAGACACAATAGAAAACACACGAAATCTCACGTAGATGTGCGTTCCGCTATAAATCGTCCCTTAGTCGATTTCAAAAAGTTCGATTCCAGAAACAGTTAACCGTCCGTTACAGGCTTATAGCTCCCGAAGGAGTAGGCAGAGAACACTCACTTATATCCCTCACAGTAATTTGAATTGTGAGCCTATAGAATACAGAGAATTGAGAAGAAATTTAGATAAAAATTACCACTATATAGTCTACTATATTATAGTAGATCTAGTGAACTTTGATATCAATAATACAACATAGTACTAGTACCTACAAAGACTACAAAAAGATTTTGTAATTTTATTCGGATAAGCATCTGAAGGTCAAAATTGGTTCGTTAGTTTTTTATACGAAATCTAGTTAAAAAAACATTTGACGGACGATAATATATGAGATTAGTAGTCAAGACAAAATCTTTGCTATAAATCCTACTCATAGACATTTATTTTTGACTTGTTCTTAAGGTGAAGTTAAGAAAAATATTACACCATTTATCGTCCATAAAAACATGTGCTCATTCATTCTTATATTCTCACTTTTTAAGTGTGGGAGAGCCATGCTTCGGCACGAATGGGCCGGTTCGATCGGAGTGATACCACGGCCTCACAGAAAAGCGGCGAGAATCAACGCTTGCGTTATATTTCGTCGTGTGAATGAGGTTAACGAAGGCCCAATTCCCCCCAGCAATCTTCCCAATCACTGAATCCCCAACAATCCTCAAATTCCTAATCACCAAAAGGGCGATAACGCCTCTGATATTTCAGGTGTCCATGAGCGACGCCGATTGCTTACCATCCACCGTCCGATCGTTTACTGGCTTGTCACATTCAAAAAATCTTACTACACACAAAATAGAACTCAAAACCGTTCACATAAGCACTTGTGTTAAAACAAAAGCAACTCTAACCTGACATATAGCATCAGGCCGTCTCTTCATGTGTTCAAAAAACAAATGCCCAAGATGTCTATCACCAGCCTGCGTCATCATCACACACAAAAAACTAAAAAATACACTTTTATTATGACTTTCATCAACGAAGAACTATTATATAATAAAATAATATTTCCTTTTGACGCTGGTTGAGGTGTTTGGCGATCAAAATTTTACAAGGAATCCGGTTTAAATTCAATGCAATAGTTGATATTTTGAACTCGTGTGGCGAGTTTATTTTTAATTAAATGAACTAATACATTTTCCTTGATACAGTATAATACATAGTGATACTTACCGTAATGTTTTTTGTATACTAAACCGGTCTATTCTATGATGCCGCTTTGTAGGCTTTATCAATGTTTTCCCTTTCGATAAAAGTATATACAAAATTGAACATTAAGTACCTATTTTTAAAGGTATTTTTAGAGGTATTGGTCGATGAGCCGTTTTCCAGCCGTTGGGGCTTGGTTTATACGTACCTACATACATACACCTCGTGGGCGCACATATTTGTTTACTTATATTTACTAAATCTCTGAAAACGTATGTTGGTCTTGGCCGGACTAGGGTGGAACCACAGAACATATAAAGAAGGTGTATATCTTCTTTATTATGTTCTGTCATCTGTGGGTGGATAAAACGATATAGAAAACCTTTTTTTAAATTTTATGCTTTTCCGCTTACGTTACTTACGTAACAATTTGATGTCGACGTTTTGAACTCGACCAGAATATTCTTTCTTTCTTCTTGTATTTCAAAATTACGCGGTTAAAAACCGCCGCTAGTCCGCTCTAGTGCGTAGTGGGGTCTAAATCCTAATTTATATTTTCATTTTAAATAAAACCAATATCTTGTTATTACGTCAATACAAAGACTATTGAATGTTATATTAGGTGCCTAACCTTGGAGTTTATTAGAGTACTGTCTGTTGCCCCCGACTTTGCGTAGAATATAAGTTTAGGACATATCTTGTTTTTTGTTTCAAATTGTCAAAATAAAGTACCTAGCCTGTGTTACTCGTTCCTTAGTACATTAGCTACCTGGCAATAAAAGTCCCGTCAAAATCGGTAGCCATTAGCCAGAACAAACAGACAGAAGTATAATGTGTATATGTATATGTATGTATATGTGTGTGTGGTGGGTTTGTAGATGCATTAATATATATATGTATAAATATTATTTTTTTTGTCTTTGTCTAACCATACAATGTCGTGGTGGCCCGGAGGTTTAAGACGCCCACTTCTCATGCATGAGGGTGCGGGTTCGAAACCTACCAACGGCAAGTACCAATGTGACTTTTTCCGAGTTATATGTACTTTCTAAGATTATTTAGACACCACTAACAAACGGTGAAGGAAAAACATCGTGAGGAAACCTGGACTTATAATTTCTAATTATAAGTTTGAAATCGCCAACCCGCATTGAGCAAGCGTGGTGATTAACGCTCTAACCTTCTCCGTCTGAGAAGAGGCTTTGCTCAGCAGTGGGCATTTATAGGCTGTTGATGAACCATACAATGTTGCTACCATCCGTGCGTCACTGCATGGGTGCCCACTGAAAATCAGTGCTGAGTAACCTGTATGCCTGGCTTACACTGAGTGGGTGACCCTTTTAGCATAGGCATGTTGTCAGCGTCTCTTTTCTAATTCTTCTGTTTGAATTTTTCAACTCTTATATGTTTATTACTTCCACTGTCACACCTTGATTGTCTTTTTTATATTTTATTTATGCTGCATCGTGTCTGGTGCTAAATAAATGTTCTTTCTTTCTTCTCTTTCTTTCTTTCTAATGATAAACAATGTTATTTTGGTATATTATGTATCTTAAGCATGTAGCAAAGCCGCAGAGAATCTAACGGGTTGCCGGGGCTCCGTCTCGAAGTGCATGAGTAGGAACGGGGTGGTTTTTATTCAGTCTGACATCTCTCACACCTCACCCAGGTGGGAGAAGTCATTCTGTGACTTTCCCCCCATAAAAAAATGCATGTAGCAAAATGCAATTATTTTAATATTACAAACAGACGCTCCAATTGTATTTATCTGTATAGATGTTTGAAAACTAGTTCTGGTCTATTTTGATTATTAATTTAGAATACTGACCGGATGAATTTGAATAAGTAGGTACCTACTTAATAATAGCTAGGTACCTAAATAATTTTATCAGCCTCAACGTATAAATCTATTTTGAAAGGATCTTTCTCGAATTGTATGACCTAAGTTTAAGTTCTGAAAATGTAACTACAGTAGGTACTACCTTTTTTACCAACCTACTACATTATCGCCAGTGATGAATTTCGAAAATTGTCTCCCATTAACATAACACCACGTCTTTTATCCCCGACGGGTTAGGCAGAGGTGTCCATTATGCCACTGTACAATGTAACACCCACTTATCACTATTTATGTTATGAGTCCCATGTAATAGGGGCTGAACCTATCGCCATATACCGGGCACAATTCCAGACTCCGTGCTACTACTGTGATTTTTTTGAAAAACCCAGTAATACTTTGCCCGACTCGGGAATCGAACCCGAGACCCCTTGCCCAGCAGTCGCACTTGCGACCACTCGGCCAATGAGGCAGTCTCCCATTATAACCCAGGAATCGAACCCAAGACCACTTGTTTCATTGTTTTCAACATCACGCCTATAACCCCGAAGGAGCAGGCAGAGGTGCACATTATGCCAATGTACAATGTAACACCCACTTTTCACTATTTATGTTATGAGTCCCATGTAATAGGGGGTGAGCATATTGCCATATACCGGGCACATTTCCAGACCCCGTGCTACTACTGAGATTTTTTTTAAAACCCAGTTGTCCGACCCGGGAATCGAACCCGAGACCCCTTGCCTGTTAGTTGCACTTGCGACCACTCGACCAACGAGGCAGTCAAAATATCAGAATAAAATAAAATAAAAACTCCACATTACATTTAAATCGTTTATTATTATTAACTTATTATTATTTTGCTAATAACACAATTTACACAATTTAATCTAACATTATTTACTTCTTAACATAATATAGGTAACTCAATACTGTGATTATACATAATATATGTATACAATATTTGGATAAGATGAAGATCTTTTGGGTGCCTACATAGTCCACATATACATATACAGAATGTCCCTGAAGTAGACGATCAAATGACATTAGGTGATCGTCAAGGTTCCTGCAGTTATCAGAAAAATATTTAAAAAAGTCCTACGTCAAATAGTTTTTAAATTACAATGACTTATATGTTATCCACGAAAAAGTACACCTGTGCCAGTCTTCGACTCTTGTTGCTATCTGCTTTGGAATTTTTTATATATTTTTCTGATAATTGTTGGAATCTTGCCGATCACCTGTTGTCATTTGATCGTCGACTTCAGGGACAGCCTGTATATAACGCAGTTTCCACAATTCCCGCTTGCCACGTCATAAAAGGAAAAGGAACAGTTTGGCAGAAAAAAGTTTCGAATAATTTGAGATCTCTAGTATCGTACCTCTGTGGTACCCTGGTACAGCACGACTCAATCGGTTTTGATATTTGTTAGTATTATCGAGTTTAAAAAGAAGAGTGACTATGTTCGGACGTTTGCTTATTCATGAATACCATAAATACCATATCTCATTAGATATGGTTCGAAATGAGTGATTCAGTCTAAGTCAATACTAGTTCCAGCTGCTACCGCAGCAAACTCTTTCTTGCCATACTGTACTTAAAACGAAAAAACCCAATCAAAATAACATAAAAACAGTAACTAGGTTCCGTTATCAATAAAATAATAATCGACATAATATACAATTTACAATCAATTGAAATAAAATTTGCTACTTGTAGGTACTTTCTGTAATAAATAAATATTTTGAAACTCAAATAATAATTACTTTAGGCTCCGGAATCGCTTGACACTGATCGAGTGACCGCGTCGAAAATGAATATACAACTTAATACAGAAATAATATAAGTTTTAACAATATTGTTTAATGCATTTCATACATAGCCCAAAAATTACAGATAAATACAAGTTGGCAAATAATTACAGTTCTTTCAAAAAACTTGTAGGCAGGCATTCCTGCCTACATTCGTCATTACTTATTCCCTGGGTAGTGCCTGGACTAAAGCCCTCAGCTTTCCTCTTGCGATCTTTCCTGAGGAGGTCAAAGGAATCTGGTCCATGAAGATCACACCGCCTCGCAGTCTTTGGGAGTCCGATAGTTTATCTAGAAACAAAAAGAAAACGTTAAAGTATAGATATAGGCCATATGTTTTTTGTGGGGGGGGGGGGAACATCCAATGACTTTTCCCGCCTGGATGAGGCGAGAGGGAGTGTCACGCGAGACACGAGTCTCTAGCGGAGTAAAAACCACCCCGTTCCTACTCCTGCACTTCGAGCCGGAGGCCCGGTAACCCGTTAAGTCTCGCGATCCCTGACGCCCGGAGCGTATAAAAGTAGGTATATTAAGATTGTTTCACAAAATTGTACGAGAAGACAATGGTGAAAGAAAGAAATGGTGTTGACACCATTAGGTGATTACAACATATCTAAATAATTGGGAACAAAACGGAGTGCTAAACGGTATAAAATATTAACACCTCACTCTTCGTCAAAACGATCACTTCATACGCGAGTCATTTTTTTATCGCATAAGCCGGTTAACGAGCTGACGGATCACCTGATGGTAAGCAATCGGCGTCGCCCATGGACACCTGGAACACCAGAGGCGTTGCAAGTGCGTTACCGGCCTTTTGGGGATTAGGAGTTTGAGGATGGTTGGGGATTTAGGAATTGGGGAGATTGGGGAAGGGGACGGTAATTGGGCCTCCGGTAACCTCACTCACACGACGAAACACAATGCAAGCGTTGTTTGACGTCGGTTTTCCGCCCATTCGTGCCGAAGCATGACTCTCCCACACTTATTATTACATTAGATTACGGCTATCTCGCGATTGGCTGAACTGACCGATCTGAAAAATATGGGTCGTTAAAGAATACTAGACAACATACCAGCCACCAGCGCCTTAATCTCGTCAGCAGTAACAGTGAACCCTGGCCTCCTCATCACGCAGGCCACCACATGTTCTCCATCATCCTCGTGGGGGATACTGGTCACACTGACTTCCTGCACTCCAGGGTGCTCGCGGATTACTGCTTCTATTTCTGGAG